ACTTTTGCTCATAAGTCCCCGAGAATTCTGTCCTCGATCACTTCTTCGATCTTCCCGGGCGAAATTGCATCCTGAACTATTGTTCCTTCGATCTGCGGTATATGGTTGATATCGGTCTCTGGTCGACCTTGCCTCCATGTCGACGTCTCTCTGGTTTTTAACTGTCGACCTGTTTGGATGTACTGAACCGGAAGGGGCTCCTAATTGGTCATCCTCGACCCTGATCTTCGATTGATATCGATTGTGCACATCTGCCAAAGTTACAACTGGATACTCGATCAAATTTTGTTTTAACTGACGTGATGCTATCGAACTTCGCTCGTTCAACCCTTGGGTAAAAGCTTGAACGGCCCAATCATCTGTGACCGGTGGCAACTCCATGCGTTCCATTTGAAATCGGGACACGAACTCCCTCAGCATTTCATTATCCCTTTGTCTTACCTTGAAAAGGTCCGATTTCCTCGTTGCGATCTTTATGGCCTCGGCGTGTGCCTTTACGAAAGAATCTGCTAATATGGTAAATGAGTCGATGAAATTTGGTGGCAAGTTGTGATACCAAATCATTGCTCCCTTCGAAAGGGCCTCTCCGAATATTTTCAACAACACATATTCGATTTCATCATCTTCTAAATCGTTACCCTTGATGGCGCATGCATATGAAGTAACACGCTCGTTGGGATCGGTGGTCCCATTATATTTCGGTATGTCTGTCATACGAAACTTCTTTGGAATAGGCTTCGGAGCCGCACTTGGAGGAAACGGCTTTTGTACAAACTTCTTCGAATCCATCCCTTTCAAGATTAGCGGTGCCCCCGGTATCTGATCAACTCGAGAGTTGTATGTCTCCATTTTTTTATCGTTGGCTTCGATTCTCTTCTCCTCTGATTCAATTATTTTGGTGAGCTCCTCGAGCATTTTCATTACCATAGGATCAGTCCCCGATTCACTACCATTCGACCTTTCCGGTATTGGCTCGGTACAGCGAGTAATTTCTGGCTTGACCCTATTCGAAGCTCTATGTTGATTTTGTAACTGAGTAATAGCGGCTTGCTGAGCCTGAAGCATCTCTAATATCACTTGGAGATTGACTCCTTCGTCTCTTCTGCCCAGTGTTCCTTGGCCACTAGATCGGCCTTCTCTGTGTACACTCCCATCGAGATCTGCGCCTAGGTCCGCGTTTAGAGCAACGTGCGAACTGACATTGACTGGGTTGGCAACCGGTGCTCCCCCGAGATTAGCTTGTGGCACCTCAACTCCTAGAGCAATCACATTTTTTTTTTCACCGTGGAATCCGAGGCCATTGTCACCGTGTGTGGATGCGTTTTGTGATTTTGACATGTTTTAACTTGAAAGCAAAGATACTTGATAAGAATAAGCGTAAAATAGTGTGTTTTACCAGAATCAATACTGAACAATCACTATTATTCTTAGTCCCACGGTGGATGCCAAACTGTTTACCCTAAAAATTGAGTAACAATTAAACTTATATTGTGGTCTTAAGGATATGTGATTTAAACTAGTATCAATTGATAAACAACGAATTAAATAGATAAATTGGACAATAAAATAATTAAACCGGTTTGCAAACAATGCCTCGACTTCGATTCGAGATAGTCTCGAGGTTAGTTAATAAGAAGGATGGAACAAACAGCGATGAACAATAAGTAAAATAAAGAAAGCAGCATATGTGTATATTCTTATCAGTGAATAATGATTGTCCCTATCACAAGTGAATGTGATCCCTCTTTATATAATAGAGGAATCCTAAATAAAGTACAACACTAATAACGGAAGTAGATCCCATGATTAGCACTAATAACCACTTTGATTTGATTTGTTCTAGGATTTCCGCCGTGACCTTCGACCGGTTATTGATATCTCGCCATTCCGTTATTACGCCTTACTTGAAGTCAGTCATGCTTGATCTCGATTGTTATTGGCCTCGATCTCAATTAACACTTCGATCTCCAGGCTTGATGTTCTATCTTCGAGCTCGAGCCCGATCTATTATGAGGTTACCCTCGAGGCAACTCCTCTGCCAACGAAATCGGGTATCCGATTTCGACAGTATACAAAGAGCTTTACCAAATCCAAACTTGAAAATTTTCGAGTCAGCTTTTTATAATGCCCGAAGCGCGATGGAAGAGTTGCTTAGTCGCTAGTTTGTCGTGCCTGTGCCTGATAAATGGGGATCGCACTGATAGTGTAATAAATACGTGAAGGGTCGGTTAGTTGCCTTATTTTTGAGATACTGATTTCACATTACCTAATACTATGATAAATTTTGTTGTTTCCGTGTGTAGAAATTAAACTCAAAATTGTGTATCATGGCATTTTGCAGGACATCAACTTCTGGGGTTCTGTTTATATGACCCGATTTGCTATCCCCTATCTTAGATATTGTGGGGGGAGGATCAGTGTGCTTTCTTCATCTGCTTCTTGGCTGCCTGCTCCAAGATCAAGCTTTTACAATGTAATTACGAACTCTATCTGCTTTTATTGTTCCCTTTATGGGAATGACAATAGTTGATACTGACCAAGTACCAACCCACACAAAATTTAGGCAAGCAAAGCAGCAATATCTCAATTCTTTGAGACATTAAGGATTGAGTTGGGGCAGGATATCAAGATAACTCTGTTAACACCTGGCTTTGTTGAATCTGAACTCACGCAAGGCAAATACATTGCTAAGGGTGGCGATGTAGAGGTTGATCAAGGAATGAGGGATGCAAGTTTTTCTCTTTGTGCCCTTTTTGCCTTGTTTCTACATTTTAATGTGCGGCAGTTATTAACTAGCTTTACCGTGAGTAGTAAATCTTATTAATTTGCTGAACTACACAAAGGTAGTAAAGAATCGTTTTAGTCGGCCATAACATGTGTCAAATGTTGACGGCGTAAAAATTATTTACATGGTGATTAGTACATGTAATTAGTTAATTACACCTTTTAAAAGACTAGTCTAGTACTAGTGTATTTATTTATTTAAGTTTTCCTTTTTGCAGCAAGCAATGATCTCACATGTGTTGTATGTGAAACGGCTTCTCGTAGTTAATTTTTAACAACTGCTATCATGGCTCAGTTTCTCTCTCTATATATGTAGAGTGGATGATGTTAATTTATCAAATCCAAATTAAAATATGAATTAGACTAATTGATAGTAGTAATTTGAACTGAAATTGCTGAAATTTTGACCAGCTAAAGCAGTCACAGAAAATGGGCAGAGCAGGGAGCATGTTTCCTCAGTAATTTATTGGTTTAATAACTTTTTGGGTTAAGGTTAATGTTCCATCATTTGCCTTTGCAAAGAATTATGTTACTCCTTTTCATCTGACTGGCCCGGAGACAAAATGTCTTATACCCAGAGACTATCAGAAATGCAGATATAAAGACCGACTAATCAAAAGTTTTGTATTAACTTCGTCACAAGAGTGAGTTGCTGTAGTGGTGAGCACCCTCGACTTTCAACTAAGAGATTGTGAGTTCTAGTCACCCCAAGAGCAAGGTGAGGAGTTCTTGGAGGGAGAGAGCCGAGGGTCTATCGGAAATAGCCTCTCTACTCCAGAGTAGGGGTAAGGTCTGCGTATACACTACCCTCCTCAAACCCAACTAGTAAAATTATTCTGGGGAGGGTCTATCGGAAATAGCCTCTCTACTCCAGAGTAGGGGTAAGGTCTGCGTATACACTACCCTCCTCAAACCCAACTAGTAAAATTATTCTGGGGAGGGTCTATCGGAAATAGCCTCTCTACTCCAGAGTAGGGGTAAGGTCTGCGTATACACTACCCTCCTCAAACCCAACTAGTAAAATTATTCTGGGGAGGGTCTATCGGAAATAGCCTCTCTACTCCAGGGTAGGGATAAGGTCTGCGTATACACTACCCTCCTCAAACCCCACTAGTAAAATTATTCTGGCTGCGTATACACTACCCTCCTCAAACCCAACTAGTAAAATTATTCTGGGGAGGGTCTATCGGAAATAGCCTCTCTACTTGAGGGTAGGGATAAGGTCTGCATATACACTACCCTCCTCAAACCCCACTAGTAAAATTATTCTGGGTTGTTATAGCTGTGAAGTGTGTGTTGTACTTGTACATCTGTGTTTCGGACTTTTTAGATCTGTGCTAGTTGTAGTGTAGCTATAAATAAAAGGATGTTTCAGTTTGTTGCAAAGAGTGGTTTGTTTTTTTTATAAATCAGCATATGGGATGTTACAACTTATCAGGATGTAGATAATAGAAACATAACCTTAGCAATATGACACTTACGCAGGCGCATCCTTTTTTTTTTCTTTGGTCCTTTTAGCAAAGTAAAGGAAGTCAAACCTATTGTAAGTTAGTAGTAATTTGAAGAAACTCTCTTCTAATTTCATTGTTTATTATTGAATTGCTGTATCAATAAATGAAAACTCCCTAGAAGTGTTTCTCATTATGCGGAAACAATTAGAGACGAATTATCAAATTTGGCTATTAAATTATGGTAAAAGTCACTGGGACTCGACTCAACTCAATATTATAAGAAGATTGATTAGATTCAAAGTATTATAAGAAGCTTGATTAGATTAAAGCTCAAATTAAATTCATCTCGGCACTAGAATAGGTTTAGTTTATCTCATCAGGCTCAGTTCGCGTCCATAATTATGGCTAGATTGAATTAATTTGGTTGGACCAACTCCTTCATTTAAGGGTAAATCGAGAGATTCATTTTTATAATTATATGTGTTATTTTAGTTATATAGGAGTAATATTTTTATACTTAACCAATAAAAGTTTTATACAAAATACGAATTTATATTCGTAAGTGAGCATAGGAGATGATTTTATCCACGAATTAACCCCTTGCTATTAGTAGTCCTAATAATATACTCTAGTAAAGTTGTTTGTTGGAAAAAAAAAAATAGAGCTGACAAGAGGCATGGCGGGAAAATTGATGTTTCCGAATCCGGATCCGCAAATTCTCTTTAGCACAATTTTTTGAAACCCAATCGAAAATTTCCCCAACTTTTTTAGCTCCAAATATACCCGCCCTTTCCAAAAGAAAATTCCCGCGATCTTTACTAGTATTCAATTCCGGATCTGACAAATATGGATCCAACACTTAACTTCCCTCATTTGCAACAGTTTTGCTTAAAAATAATTTTCTCTCTTCAACACACTGACAAAACCTACAGATCACTACCATGGCTTCCGAGAAAGAAACCCTAGAAGAGAAGAAACAAGAAAAAGAAACAAACGAGCAAGAAGAAAAGGAAAAACAGAACAGTGAAGAAAGAATAACTGATGATGATAAGGATGAAATAGGAGAAGACAGAGAGGGTGCAGGGGAAATGGAAGTAGACAAACAAGAGGAACAGGAAGAATCTGAGGAAAAGGAAAAAGTTGTGAAGAAGGGAAAAGATAGAGGTGCAAGGAAAAAGGAGGAAGGGAAAAGGGATAATATGGATTCGCCCACAACACCAGGTTCAAGGCCATCGAGGGAAAGGAAAACAGTGGAGAGGTTTTCTGAGTCTTTGGCTGCTAGAGGTTCTGCAATTAAGCCCTTGTCTATTGAGAAGGTATAATTCAAAAATATTTCCTTTTAGAAATTCATTTCATTTCTAGTTTTATTCAATCAATTATACTTCAATCTGAAACTGCCTGTGTCTTATGGTTGCCAAATCCAAGAGTCAAGCTAACTAGAAATATGAGCATTTTTTATATTCGTGACCAGTTGAATGTCTATTTTTAGTAACCTGCCTCTGTTATCTTTCGGGTTTTGTTGATTCATTTTACATTTTCCTTGTCAAGTTTGGTTTTTGTTGCTTTGTTGAGGAAGATGGAAAAAGGTGGTACATTAAGTTCTAATTAGAGTTAATTTCTCAATTGGTCATTTAGCCTAAGCCATGAACGGAGTAAAATCACTTTTTTGGTCACTGTGAAATTATCCTGCTTAACCCGACCCTCCCAGAAAATCATTTCAGCCAGAAGATCGATTTTCAATACTGGAAAAAAGACATGGCATGCCATGTCATCCACTAAACGTTCAAATTTCTCAAATAGTTATCTAACTTATGAAATGCCATGGCATGTGTTGGCCGGAGAGACCTCATAGATTTATTCCTTGGGCTATGCAGTCATCAAGCCCAAAAGTGTGTGTACTATGTGCACATTATTCTTGTATAACACTTCACTTTTCTATCTCTTTCTAATTTGGGATTTGTCTAAGGTGTCATATGCTATGTGGACTTTGCTTTTCTCTCCCTTTCTGATTTGAAATTTGCTTAAGGTGTCATATGCACCCCTTCATTGGAAGCTTATTAGGCTAGAATTTTGTTAGTCTTTCTCTTTGACTTGTTCTTGTCAGTTTGCCTACGTCATGGGTGTCACATACACCCCTATTTATGGACTTAGCGTTCTTGTTGAAGTTTGTCCCACTATCATGTTGCAAAATCAGGCTTTGATGCCACCTGTCATGGTTAAGACCTACTGCCAAGGTATTGATTGCTTTTGCTCTACCCCGTTGGCCCACTACAAGGCTTTTGCGTCTCATGGTTTTATATAACTTGTTACAACCCAGGCCCAATTGTTCGCTTTGGTCTGACCTTTTTAATGTTCTCAGGCTTTTCGACCTTATAGTTTTGTCCCCATGGGCTTTAACCTAAAAAATGCATCAACTGTTAAATCCTGAATAGCCCTTATATGGTCTCGAACTTTCCCTCTCATTCTGTTGTTCAATTTGCCTGAATTCAACTGCCAGCAGTCTTTGGGTTGTTGCACTCATCTCTCTTAGGGACTCAGGTCTTCATTGGGTTTGACTCACAATCATATCAGGGATGTATCGGCTTTGATACCACCTGTCATGGTTGATGCCCAATTCCTAAGGTATTGTTTGTTTGACCTGGCCCCTCTGAGCCACCTCAAAGGTTTTGGGTCTCACAGTTTTGTCTCTTTGGGCTTAACCTAAGAGGTGCCTTCTTTGTCGAATCCCGAACTCTCCCTCATATGGTTCCTAACTTTCCCCTTCCAACGCCTAAGGTAAGTTCCATAGTGAACTCCCTTTTATGTTCTAACTGCCCAGGGTCCAGAGGTTGTTACATCAATTCATCTTCCATCTTGATGTCTAAGGTAATTTGGGCATAGAAAGAGAAAAGGAGAAACTGACCAAATTCCTCATAACATTCATTTTTGATATTATTGCCACTATCCCTACACCTTTTCAATTTGTTGACGGTTGGTCTCCTGTCCGTTTTTTGTATTGCTTCAACTAAGAAATTGGACAAAGGGGACTAGACAATTTATTTGGCATTCTTTTCCAAGTTTCTTATTTCCGAGTAGTGAATAAATGCTACTGAAATGTCTTATTTTGATTTTTACCATTAATGCTAGCTTTTGTCATGTTTTGGAATCCCTCTTATTATTTTGGTGTCAAATGCAGGGTAGAGGTACTCAACTGAAGGATATCCCAAATGGTACCTTTTTTCTTTTGCTGAATCACTTTCTCCCTTTATTGGATTCAGCCTTTTCTTTGCTTGCTTTTATGTTATATTACATCAAGTTTATTCCCTTAGAGAAACAAACAAGGTTTGCTTAATATTACTTGAAAAATATGCACTGATACTGTAATAAAAAATATGCTTCTCTTGCCAACAAAAATCCTTGTGTTTGTTTCTTGTACTTTCAGTCTGTTGATGCCTGGTGGCTAATTAGATTTTGCAGCAGTAGCTTGTTTTTTTAAAAAAAAAAAACTTTGATCAGTAATGAACTTTGCTAGGTTACTGGTGCTTTGTTTTATTTATCCCTGACAAGACCATTTCTTTTGAGGAGGAAAGGAACCGATGAGCCTGGTTAAGTATTTAAATGCATTTGTTGTACCTTTACTGTTTCTAATATCCATAAGAGCATAGGACAGTTAGCATATTTTGCAGAAAAAGTTAGATTTGCTTGACAAATTCCACTTGACTCACTGGAGTGATGAATAACCTAGCTCAATTACAACAGCTTGTTTTTTTCCCCTTTTCAATTAACTAGGTATGATCTTGGTTATCAAAAAATAATGAGGTATGATCTTATAAAGAATTTATATTTGTGTATCTGTCAACTCATACTGCATACTGCTTGGTTACCAGCTAATGCTCAGATTGACTGACTAGTAACTGCAAAATTGTCATACTTGATATCCAACATTCTTCATAATCTGTTGTCTCATACTATCATTGTCTTTAGTCTTCTTTTTATGCCTTTGTCCTTTCTTGGTACTTGGTTCTAGAAAAGGATTCGTCAATATAACTTACCTACAAATACTAAAGGATCTATTAAACAAAATGGGAAAGGAGTGGTTAGAGCTGCTAAATGATTTAGGTTTACTTCCCCCTTGCAGTCTACTTATTTGTATTATGTACTAGCAAATTTTAAGTATTTTGTCTTTGAGTTGTGCTCATGGAATTTATTTTGTGGTTACTTTATATACGTTTTATCTTCCTTTGCCTTTCTTTTGGTTGAGTAAATTTGTAGAACTTACATTGTGTGAAAATAATTCCATTGACAGCTATGGTGTTTTGAAATATTTCAGTGGCATATAAGTTGTCCAAGAGAAAACCGGATGACAACCTGCAAATACTTCACAGTATTCTTTATGGCAAGAGAACAAAGGTAAAGTCTTCTCACACTAAAATCGTTTAATCCCTAAAAATTAATTCCCCTGCTCGTGCACACTTTCTGTCTCTCTTCAATTCATTATCATGTACTTTTTGGGTTATGATAGTGTGTTTGGCAGTTGGTTTTGCTTCTTAACCTTGCAAGTCTTAAACAAAGTCCTTGCCTTTGCAGGCACATAATCTGAAGAAAAACATAGGGCAGTTTTCTGGATATGTTTGGGTTGAAAATGAGGTAGTTAGTCTCTCTCCTTTCTAAATCTTGTGATTGCATCATTGTTCTTTTTTTCGGTAATGTGACATATGGGCATGGAATACACAAGTGTTAACATCTTTATCCAGTGACTTTATGATCTGTGAATGACATATGTATCTTGAGTATTTTCCCCTTCTTTCTCAAGCAGGAAAAACATAGGTCAAAAGTGAAAGAGAAGCTTGACAAGTGTGTCAAAGAAAAGCTACTGGTTTTTTGTGATATACTCAATATCCCAGTCAGTAGATCTGCAGCAAAGAAGGCATGTATTATCAATGGCTTCACCGTTTGCTGTGTGATTCCCTACAGTAAATATATGTTTTGCTAATCATTGTTGTTGCATGTTTCAATTCGCAGGATGAACTCTCTGTGAAGTTAGTAGACTTCCTGGAATCTCCTCATAGTACGACTGACTCGTTGCTTGCTGATAAGGAACAGGTATAGCCGATCCTGCATTTTCTGCTTTCTCTTACTCAATAGTGTTGCCTTTTGTTTTGACTTTGGTATTTTTTTGCTATATGTTTATCTAATGTAGGTATTCTCATTATTGTGTTTCATTTTGATCTCAGAAAAGTAAGAAGCTAAAAAGGAAGGGCACAACTTCCAAAAGCAAAGGTTCATTGGATAAAGCTACAGGAAAATCCGCAAAGGTTAACTTTTTTTTATTCTCTCCTTTCTCTTCAAAGGAAATGACGGCCTGATACTGCAATAGTTATTGGTTCTGCAATAATATTACTTGAACTTCAAATAAGTAATGGTTTATATCATTCTCTTTATGTTAATAGTCCTGTCTTGATATGTTAAGGGATCTGGCTGCATTTACACAATGTCACAATTACGGGAGTCTTTTCTCTCCGCAACTATTGGTTTCTGAATGTTGCCTGTTATCTCTATTTAATTCGCATTACTAGTGTGATTACTCAGCTTGTCCATCAGGAAATGTTTTTTTTTCAAAGTTGTCTTCCCTCTTTATTGCAAGGCTAGGCTAGGTTAAGGCTGTTCATCATAACATTATAGCCTCAATTGCAATCATGGCATTACCTTATTCAAACTTACAAATGTTTTTTTCTTGGTTCTGGGGTGATCTATGGACCCATGTTTTGCAATTGCCTCAGCTACTGCTACATAACTACATAACAGAACTGCAAAATGTAAAATATGTAAAAGCAATAAGACAAGAATGTAGCCTACTTGGCTTACTATTGAGTTCTGCCTTATTTGTTAATACAAGCTTTGTTGGTTGCTTGAATTCACATGTTCTGTAAGCAGCAATAAGTGCTTTGCGTCAATATTTGAAAAACTAAATGCATGTATGATGGAATAACTGTTATGTGTTGATCAATTTGTCAATTCTAACTCCTGGCACATAGAGCCTACTCAACTATAATCTGCTTAAAAAAGTTTGGGCTCTTACTCAATCACATCCTATTCTTAATTATTTGCCATCATTTTTATCCCAAAAAGTAATTATTTGTGGTAGGGTTTCAGCGAGCTTACATTCATACTTTAATCAAATTAGTGTGGAGTCTATTGAGTTGAGGAAACTTATTTACACATACAATGAGTGAAAGAGTGTTTTATAGCTTCCTTTGAACTATGTTAGA